TTAGGTTTAGGAAAAGATCGGAAATACTTAGGTTTAGGAAAAGATCGGAAATAGTTAGGCTTAGGAAAAGATGGTGAAACGAACATCGATCTACTTGGTCGTTGTACCGTCCACCTCCCCCCCCTCCTGCCCGTTGTGTGATTTAGCCGTCTTTATACTTCGTTGTTCAAGACTTTGTGGATAGCATACGAAATAATTTCGTGGGACATCTACGAATTACGGCGCGTTATTTCTCGTATAGGTATTGCTACGAATGCTGGATGAGACCAGCTTGTGTTAGGACGTCCATCTTTGATCGCAGCACGACTCGTTGAGCACTTAAAGCTGTTTTTTTTTGCGTTATCGGCTGTGTGTAACGTTTGTTAACAGGAACAGGAAGTTTTAAACGTATGCATGTTTGCGTGTGTTTGACTCACGCCATGACGATGACACTGAAGTCGAGCCAGTTCCAGGGGTCCCTCAGGAAGGTGAAGGGTCCCGCACAGAAACCCCTCGCCAAGATCTTTATGAGAGACTCGAAGGTGTAGATACCTGTGAAGGTGTACCTGAGGGAGGGAGGGAATGAAAAGAGAGAAAGTGAGGATGTCAATGGTAGTTTAAGGAGGGGAGAGGGAGGAGGGAGAAAGGAAATGAAGTGGAAAAGAAGGTTGAGGAAGAGGAGGATTAAGATGAGAGGAAGACAGATGGAGGGGCGAACAAATGTTAGGAATTAAATGTTAAAGAATGAGAGGAGGAGGTGTGAAGGAGGAAGAGAATAAGGAGTTGAGATGAATAAAGAAAAAGAGGAGAGAGAGGAGAGAGGGAGGATGAATATTCATTAAATCAGCAGAGCCTCAACTCTTGCCGCCAAACATCCTTCACTTATTTATTTTTGTCCCCAGAAACAAGTTTGACCCGACGGGGCGTCAACTCAACCGTACAAAGACAGACGGACAGGAGAGAGGGAGGCAGTCACGTCAGCAGCAGCTGGAAGCCAGAGCTGAAAGACCGACTTAAGAAAGGGGTCAGTTTATCCACAGTTACCCCCCTCGTGGTGTCAAGCTAATCAAATGGTTTAGAATTTAACGGGCAATGTTTTAAAGATGTGTGTCTGCAGAAACATCTCAAGGGAAAGCTTCAGCCCCAATGGAAGGGTTACCTAAAGGACGTCACGTACCAACCAGGAAGAGACTCCAAATGAAGAACATAAAACGACAACAAAGAGACTCAGAAGAACTACAAAGAGACACCAAATGACCAGTGATAACTGTATGTCTGACAGCATTCAGTACAGATTGTAAACCCAACTAGCAGGTGGCAGAAAGTTCCTGGAAACAATGTTCAACGCAAGATTTAAAAAAAAAGCATTTGAAGCTATAAAATTATGAAATGATATGAGTAGCAGTTACACACATAATGTCAGCGGACACTTTGATGTTAGGTTTGGTCTGTCCAGGCTGCTGCTGCAACCAGAGCGACAGACAGACAGACGGGTTCAGGTCTACTTACTCCAGGTATTTGGCCCAGTACGCCGGCTCGGACATGGCCATGAAGCAGCAGTTGGTCAGGATGGTGCACATGATGAACAAACTGAACAACGTGAGCAGGTTAAGGAAGAAGGAGGTTTCACATCACAGACAGGTTACATGTCAGAAAACAAATGATCTAAATCACCATGTGGTCGTCTGATCATTAAACACACTTCAAGGACTCAGACGCTTTCACTGGATGTTGTGGATCTCCAGTTAAGACATTGTTTCCACACCGGCTCATTTATTTAACATTAGTTGGTACTTTATACTGCGACTGTATTTGTGAACATGCATCGTTTTCTTTTTCCTTTTGAGGTCTTAAAGAAGAAAGTTCAGACGGTTTATATCACATTTGTTTGCTGTTGTGGTCCATTAATCTTTAAAATACAAATCTTAACCTCATGACTGTAAGAAGCTGTGATGTTATTAATTAAATCAGATGAGAAGAGCAGCCAGAGACTAATCCTCCTACTCAGACGTGCTCCCTGCATTCCACTGCCTCCACCGTCACTAAGTGCTTCATATTATATATTTATTTTATCTTATTGTTATTTTATCAGGAGAATCACATTAAGAGTCAAAAACAGAAGCATCAACAGTTTAACATAAAGCACGAATAATAAACTTAAACAAAACAGTTGGAAATTAAAAAAGTCACGTAAGAAGTTTCACATCAAAGCATGAAAATCAGACTCAAAACGAAACATAAATAAGTTGAAAACAACGTGAGACATGTCCTGTAAAATATGAACAATCAGTGTCAACAACACAACGTTAATGCTGCTGTATAATCTCCCATGTTTATTAAATAATGTGCTGTAAAGTGATGTAACATGAAACCTTCAAAGAAACCGTCTAGAAAACATGCGAGTCGTTAAGTTTGACCTCACATTTCTTCAAATAGCTTCTTATTTTACAGTGCCTCGGGGAGAGCAGGTGGGCGGAGTTTATAAACCCGAGAGGACAATAAGTGCCAGAGAGAGAATTAGACAGTCAATTTACAGTACTTTCCTGTGATTCACGGCTCTTAGTCGCTGTGGAAAAGAGCACCGAGTCAAGATGTGAAATGGAAATGTCCTCGGGTAGAAAAGCTGCCGACGGACGACCTGCAGCTTTTAGCACGCCTGAAATGTAAATGTACCGACGCCTGTGTGTGTGTGTGTCTGTCTGTCTGGCTGTGTTGTGTTTTTGTGTTTTTTTGTGTGTGTTTGTGTGTGTGTGTGTGTGTGTGTGTGTGTGTGTGTGTGTGTGTGTGT